AGCTAATAGGATCTTTGCCAAAAGATAAAAAATCAAAGCAATTGATTAGCAAAGATATACAAAAAAATAAATATGGATTATAAAAAAATATTTTCATACATGTGTAGCATGATCATACTTGTGCAAGATTGCCCTTATATTTCCATTCTTTTTACGGGCCCACATGCCCTCAGAAGCATGCATTTGACTTGCTCCTGGTGGAGAGCAACTGATGGATTTCATTGGGAGGTACTCTGACTACTCGTCTTCAATAAACAGTGCAAGGTCCTTTACATGCCTGTATTCACAAGTTATAAGGTTAACATATTCTTTATTAGCGAAAGGAACCACCAGAAAACCAAGGAATGCAATAAAACAATTACAACCTAAATAAAATAATGATTCTACAAATGAGCAAGATGAATACTTGATTAAATAACACATCATGCATTTGACTTTCCAGAAGTTTAGATAACACATGATGTATTTGACTTTCCAGATTGTTGGGTGCTTTGCAGACGAAAAATATGTGTCCCTCTCAGTTCATCTTTTATGCTCATAACCATCATTTGCATATGTAACAAAATTAGCTCTTGTCTTATATTGCTCTACCAGCATTCTTTGAAGCTCGTCCTTGCTCATCTCCTCTTCGCTAGGAATACAAGGATGTTGAGGATCTTCGCCAAGTTTATTCTTCACTTCGCCTTCAGTGGCAAATTCTTCTTCCTCATAATCTGATCTAGTTGGGGAAAAACAGTTAATTACCAATATAAAAATAACCTAAAATACAGAATGTAAATCAAGTAAAATAAACAGAAAACCTACTTTAAAATGTATTAGGCATCAATAATACAGACTGCAAATCAAGTAAAATGAATAGGCATAACCATGGCCCATGAGCTACAAATCAATACAACACCAACTATATTCTACAATCTGCATCATTCATTGTTGGATAATCAATAACTTCCAAAAATCAGTATACTGTGCAACAGATAAATATCACGACCAATTATCATCCATTGGTGGTAGTGTTTAAAACAAATAAAATTGAGAATAAGAATAGACCTCCATTCCTTCTTCCACGTGAATAGTTGTCTCAAAGGAAGAAAATGACTTAATTGATAAAACATCATCTGGTTCAACCTTGTTAACTGCATCAGAAATCATGGTAGAAATTATTTAATCATTTGTAGCAAAGATAGAGGCAATGGTTGCAACAGATGAAAACATTAGTACAGTGGATTTATTCAGTGGTGATCAGGCTAAACAAAATATGGTGATTGACATATGAAAAGCACAATACCTTCAATATCCTCGCGCTTCTTAATGGGCTAAGCGGTTTAGTAGAGTTAATTGGAGACCATAATTCCAGAATTGGCAATTCAATCAAAACATGCTTACAGTTAGTTGATGATACTAAACATTAATAATCAAAAGTCCAAAAGAATTTTCTATATTATATTATAATCATCATTGTTAGGCACATCATCTAAAACAATACTATATTCACAGTCAACACCATCCAAAAAAAATAGTTATGAAGACTGTAGTAAAGTAAGAATTTCTTTGTAAACTACATTTTTCGTGCATCTATTATGNNNTACATTTTTCGTGCATCTATTATGCATCATAGTATTTTCTAATGGTCTAATTAAAACTTTAATAGCTGCACTGGTTTTTTCTCTCGATAAAGCGACACAAAAATGTCCGTTGGAAAATACAGATTCTGGAAGGTAAAGACCAACAAAATCTAAAGTTTGACCTTGTGTTTTATTTATTGTCATTGCAAAACATGGACGTATTGGGAATTGAGATCTTTTGAAAGGAATTGAAGTTTTGTCATTTTCAAGTGGTATGAATGGAATTCTTGGTAAAAAAAACTCGTTTTCCATAGTATTCTCCAACAGAAATTTCTACATCTATAACATTTTTTTTAAAATTTTCGACAAATAAGTCTTGTTCCATTGCATAGTCCTTCAGATGGATTAATATTTCAAAGTTACATAACAGGACAATTTTCCTTTAATATAAGTTCATGTGGTCGAATACCATTTGGAGGTAATGTATTTAGGAAATTTTCTTGAATACTTTGTTCAGATTTATCAATAGCTTCATAGAAGCTATAATACGTATATATTTTTCAGATATTTCCTTTAATAAATATTATTTATTAAGTCCACACATTCATTTTTTTGTGTTAAAATAACTCTATTAATTATAGTATTTAAATTGTTTGTGTAATTTTCTAGATTCGGAAAAACAATGCCAATCAAATGTTTTAAAGATTTGAACTCATCCTCAAAACTTATTGTTATATTTGATAGGAGTTTAATCATACGACAAGAGTGTTCTTTTTCTATACCATTTCCAATACCAAGTAGATATGTACAAAAAATTGGATCTAATTGAGCCCTCATATTTTCAATTAATGGTAGAT